AAGGCTAGTGCTCTACCACTTGAGCCACAGCGCCACTTCCGGCTTTTTTCTTTTTGCTTATGTAGTGCTGAGGAATAGAACCCAGGGCCTCATGCATGCAAGGCAAGCGCTCTACCACTAAGCCACCTTCTCAGCCCTAGGGTGGGATTTGAATTCAGGATCTGGAGCTTGCTTACTTTGTTTGCTTGGCTGGTGCTCTGCTACTTGATCCATTCCTCCTGGATTTTTTGGGTAATCCTGGGGCTTGAACTCAGGGCCTGGCTGTCTCTGAACTTTTTGCTCCAGGCTAGTGCTCTACCACTTGAGCTATTGCTTCACTTTTGGCTTTTAGGTGGTAAATTGGAGTTAAGACTCTCAGGAGTTTTCATGCCCAGGGCGGCTTTCAACTGTTGTCCTCAGATCTCAGTCTCCTGAGTAGCTAGGGTTACAGGCAACTGCTCTGGTTTTTGTGTTTTTGTTTTTGTTTTTACTGGTTATTGTGGACTCCACAAGACTTTCAGCCCAGGCTAAAATCTTGAATCATGATGCTCCAGATCTCAGCTTCCTGAGTAGCTAGGGATTATAGGCACGGGCCACTGGTGCCTGCCTTTTCTTACTTTCTTTATAGTTAAATAACCAGTTGCCTACTGATTAGCATTTAGGGTTCCTTGATCATTTGTTATTACTACTTATATACTAGAGTACATGTTACTGCCCACATATACCAGTTTATCTAGAGGTTATATTTCTAGTATACAAATTGCTAGGTCAACATAGAAATTTTGATAGGTAATGTCAAATTTCCCTTGGTAAGAATTTTAACAATATCCATTTCTGCCAACAATTTAACTGCTATTCTGAGCCACAGCTGCACAGTAGGTTATAAAACTTTCAGAATTTGCTGGATACTAGTGGCTTATGCCAGTAATCCTAGCTACTCAGGGGGTTGAGATCTGAGGATTGTGGTTTGAAGCCAGCCTAGGCAAGAGAGCCTATGAGAGACTCTTCTCTCCAATGAACCAGCAACAAGGTGGAAGTTGAGCTGTGGCCCAAGTGGTAGAGTGCCAGTTTTAAGCAGAAAAAACATACGAGAACTGGAGACCCTGAGTTCAAGCCCCAGTATCAGAAGATACACACACACACACACACACACACACACACACACACACACACACACATTATTATTATTCTAAAGGTCCAATCTGAGAGCTTCTCATGTGCATTACTGAGTCAATTGATGCAATCTTTGCGAAAATAGATACCTTTATTTAAAAAATAGCTTTTGACATCCTTTGAAAATAAGTGGCATCCACAAGTCACAGCTGAAGTTTATGGAAACACTCTGAATATATATAATTTTTTTTTTGCCGGTCCTGGGGCTTGAACTCAGGCCTGAGCTTCTCTGTGCTCAAGGCCAACACTCTACCACTTGAGCCACAGCACCACTTTCAGCTTTTTATGCTTATGTGGTACTGAGGAATTGAACCTGGGGATCTTGCATGCGAGGCAAACACTCTACAACTAAGCCACATCCCCAGCCCCACTCTGGGTATTTTTGAAAGACACTTTTGCTAAAGACAACAGAATCTGAAAAGATACCAAATGAAGTCCCTAGAAATTTGTGCCACTGATTGAAGCAGCCTGGCTGAGGTGAAGACAGACTCTTCAGACTGTTTGTAAAGTTAACCTTATTTTTGATCCTATAATAAATATTTCCCTACATAATCCACCTGCTTTCTCCCTCCCCACCAGTAGCCCCTATGTTCTAGAGTTTTGAAAAGAGTATACAGAGGCCTGCAAGTACATTAGAAGAGCTCTCCCTGTCTAAAGTCTCCCCTGCAATATGGTTCCCCCCTCCCCATTGGTCCCCAAAGGTGACCCTGCAGCTATCTGGGGACTAGATAAGAGGTTCAGCTGGCACCAATGGCTCATGCCTGTAATCCTAGCTACTTAGGAGGCTGAGATCTGAGGATCATGGTTCAAAGCCAGCCTGGGCAGGAAATCTGTGAGACTCCTATCTCTAATGAACAACCAGAAAACTGGAAGTGGTGTTGTGGCTCAAAGTGGGAAAGCCCTAGCCTTGAGCTGAAGAGCTCATCAACAGTGCTCTGATCCTGAGTTCAAGCCCCATAACTGACAAAAACAAAACAACAAAAAGAGCTACAATACTATTCCTTTCTCCCCACAGATAAAAAGTGTGTGAGAGGAGTTTAGGTGTTGGAGTGCTGAGCTGTTGGCACATACTAAGTGCCAATCTCTTATCCATCTGTAAAAAAAATCACTGGAAGCTTTTGTTGTTTTCAATCCAAAAGTATGAGTTGACTTGGTGAACCCCCCCCCATGAACCAGCCCAGAACTTTCCTTAAATAGTCACTCCTTAGGTGAGATGCAATCTCAGGTCCACCTGAGGTGGACTTGATCAAAAGTTCCCACCAGAGTCCAGTGTTCTGTCCCCCAGGGCAGTGGCCTTTGGCAAATACAGCAGCAACACCTGCGATACAGCGTCCCTGACAAGTCCAGCTGTTTTCTTCCCCACCCTTCCTTACCCTGTTCAGCCTGAGAATCCACCTCAGAAACTGGCCAGGCTGGTGTGGCCTCTAATGGATGGTTGGGTCATGAGGAGGAGGAGGAGGAGGAGGAGGACTTGACAGGTAGGGAAGCAGAAGCCCCCAGGGGTTAATTTGCCCACATAGTTTTCTGCTGACTCAAGTCTCACCTGGCAGGTGTCCCCTTCACTCCCTGCCTTTCATTCCACCCTGAGAACCCCAAGATTTAAAATGAAGCCCATTCCTTGGGCCTGGGGGAGAGAGACCTTTGACTCTGGGGACAGTCAACCACTGTTTCCGGTCCTGGCCTCAGCTCTTCAGGGTGACTATTTGTTGCTGTCCCCCTCCCGCTTCTGCCCAGAAACCCAGGGTCATAACCTCTGAGATCATCTTCTAGGTTAGTGGGTGGAGGCAGGGAAGACTTGAGGGGGTGGAATACCATGAGGGTCAAATATGGGTGCCAAGATTCTGAGAAAGCTGTGTTTGAGTCCTGTCCCCGACCTTTTTGTTTGTTCCTCAGGGCAAGCTGGAGAGTCTACCTAGGTGGACATTTTGGCCTGGACCAGGCCTGCCACTGGCCGCCCATTGAGTATGATGGAGGCCCTCAAAAGTTCCTAGTTCCTAGGGAGGACCACTTGGCTTCAGGGAAAGTCTCCTGGCAGGTAAAGTCTGCACTTCAGGACTGGTGACTCCACTGGAGGGCAGTGACCAGCTATCTTCCAGCCTGTTCTATTCCCAGAGGGTGAAGGATTTACTGAAGGTGGGACACGGAGGCTGAGCTGCTTGGCTCAGATCTCCAACCTCCAGTCTAAACCTAGCCCCACTCCGGCCCCATCTCTGCCCAGGCCCTCTCCCCTGGAAGCCTTGATCCACATCTGCATTTGTTACCTCTACTCTCACCCTGGCCATGGCTGGCCTGGCAAAGGAACAAGACAGCTACCAAAGCAGCTCTGAGGCCAGATCTTCCTCAGTCATCCTCTTGGTGATGTGGCTCATGCCTGCTTCCTCACCAACAGCACCCAGGGCAGGATGGCGGCTACCACAGCCACCACAGCAATGAGGGTGATGAGCAGCAGGGCCCGAGAGCGGCAGCAGAAGGAGCGGGTGGAGCTGGGCGCTGGAGACACCTCGGAGAGCTCTGCCAGGCTCCGCCGGGGCAGCACGCTGTCTTGTTCCCCCAGGGGCATCCCATGACGACTGATGATGAAGATCTGTGACTCCCGGGGCAGGCTGGGCAGCGGGTCCAAGGGAACTTGGACACCCTGGCTTGAGGATGATCTCCAGACTGGCTGGGAGATGGCCAGGGGGCTTGTGGGGGTCCCACGGTCGGGTGAGGGCCCAGGTGGCAGGCCCACTGGCACGGCCAGGGTCTGTGAGCTCTTGTCCAGCATGGAGGGCCAGCGGGAGCTCTTCTTGCTGAGGAAGGTGACGTAGCGACAGATGGGGCAGACAATGGTCCTCTGGACCTGCCCCTCCACCCGGGTGGACAGCAGGTACTTGACCAAGCAGTCATGGCAGAACACATGGCCGCAGCTCAGGGTCCGGCTGGCCCCGTCCAGGTCCCGGAACTTCTCATAGCACACAGGACATTCACTGCCCGAGCTGTCCTTGCTCTCCCCTTCTGACATGGCCCCAGGAGAAGGCAGGGCTTAGCTGGAAGAGGGGAAGGGCAAAGGGTTGTGAACAATGAGGCCTTTTCCTTCCTTCCGTCTTTCCTTCCTAGCCTCTTTGTAACTCCGCCCACTCTCCTGCCTCCAGCTTCCTGCATCCCTTCTCCTTACAGCCTTCCTCTTCTTTCTATGTCTACTCTTTCCTGTTCTACTGCTTCTCCCCAGCTTCTCCTCCTGTAATCCTAGTTACGCAGGAGGCTGAGATTTGAGGATTGTGGTTTGAAGCCAGTGTAGACTCTTATTCTCAATTAACCAGCAAAAAGCCAGAAGTAGAGGTAGGGCTCAAATGGTAGACTGCCTCCTGAGTAACAAGTAAGAGCATGAGGCCTTGAGTACACACACACACACACACACACACACACACACTCACACACACACCCAAAACTAAGCTCCAGAGCCTAAAGCCCAAGGTCCTTAGAGGAAATGCGCAGGCGCTTCTGGTCCTGGACACAGTGCCCCAGCTGTGGTAGGAAGGAGGAGAGGGTTATGAAAAGTACACAAAGCACCTGATGTCTCAGCCATGAGATGCACTCATGCTGAGGTCACCACCTTGCCTCTTCCAGGTTACGTGACAGAAGGAAAGACAGGGAGACCCAGTTCTGGGATCAGACAAGTTACTAAGTTTGCCCAGCCCCAAGTCTTGTCTTCAGTTTAGGTTCAGATCTCAGGTGACCATTTCTTAGGAAAGCATCTGCTACTCCTCAACCAGGCAAGACTGATCCATGGCCCCATGGCTCCTGTGAACATCCCCACATAGTTTTACTCTCTCTGAGATAAACAGGCCAGTGAATGGTATTCCAAAATGCTAGGCATGGTTACAAAGCAATGACTCTTCTAAAAATAAAGCTTAGAACTTACACAGGCAAATGTTTGCTGGACCTCTTCATAGTTGTCCCCCAACCACACTCAGTCATTCTTCAGATTCCTCTTCTGAGGCTGCCTGAGGCAGACGATCTCCCGATGAGCCTCAGTGAAGGCAGATTTTCATTTGTGGAGGATGTGGTAGCAGCTGTTTTGGAAATGACCAAAAGTCACTGGCATCCAGATCTGGTGAGAAAGTAAATGAGTGATCATGTGGTGTGCTATTGTTTGAAATTCAAAGATATGGTGTCATTATAATGTGGCCCAGTGGAGTTTAAAAGCTTTCTTTCTGTGTGTGTGCATGCAAGTAACTGAGGTTTGAACTCAGGGCCTTGCACTCTTGTTTAGTTTTTTGTTCAAGGCTGATGCTTTACCATTCAAGCCACATCTCCACTTCCGGCTTTTTGCTGGTTAATTGGATATGAGTCTCATGGACTTTCTTGCTCAGGCTGGTTTAGAACTGTGATCCTCAGATCTCCGTTTTCTGAATAGCTACAATTACAGGTGTGAATGACTGATGCCCAGCTTAAAGTTTCTTAAAGCAAAGGAATGATGCCCAAAGATGCTATTGGCAGAATTATTGATGAGTTTGAAGGGACCTTACCAAACACCTAGGTGGAAATCCAGTGAAGTCTCACTCTCTTCATTTAAACTCCCAGTATCACATCTGTGCAGTCTTTTTTTTTTTTTGGTGCATTTTCTGGGGCTTGAACTCAGGGCCTGAGCCCTGTCTCTGAGCTGCCAAACCATACATTCACTTCTGCCTTTTTTTTTTTTTTAGCTAATTGGAGATAAGAGTTTCATGGGCTTTCTTCTCCGGACTGGCTTTGAACCATGATCCTCAAATCTCAACCTGCTTAGTAGCAAGGATTACAGATATAAACCACTGGTGATGGGCACAACTGTGTATTTTAAATTTACCTAGAATAGTCTCTTGGGAAGGAATCATGATTTCTGTTATCAATATTTTCTTCCATCTGTGACAGAAAAAAGACCTCAGAACACACTGACAACCTACAGCAGTGTGGCAGCTCCGAGACCTGACAGATGACATAATGGGAAGAAGATTAGCTTCTAGGAGGGATCAACTATAAAGCTTACAAATCTTTTGGAATCTCTCCCCTCTCTTGGCTTAGTTCCAAATTCATTTTGCCATGCTGAAAATGTTCTGTCATTAAGAAAGAATGAAAAATACGTGGATGTGGTGATCAGTATAGGGGCCATATAGGCCACCACACTTTTATAGGGGCCAGCTTTAGTTTCTCAGATGGCCAGTGTAGCCCCTAGGCTGGCGAGAAGAGTGTCAAGTGCTCAGATGGTGAAACTGGGTTCAAATCCTTCATATACAAATTGCTGTCTAAATAACCTTCGCCAAGTTGCTTAACCTCTCTGGGCTGCAGTTTCCCATCTGTATAGAACCTCTTTCCTCCAAAACCATTGGTGATATTGAGTTCCAGTGTGGATGAAGAGTGTGGCACGTAGTAGATGTTGTAAAAATTGGAGATCCATCCATCCGTCCGTCCATCCATCCATCCACTTAATCATTCAACAGATACTTACCAAGTACCAATTATTTGCTAAATACTGAATTTACACATTGGAGATAAGCAGTGATCATAAAATGGAAAACATGGAATTTTATAGACGAGAGAACATTAGAATTGTGTGTGTGTGTGTGTGTGTGTGTGTGTGTGTGTGTGTGTTGGTTCTGGGGCTTGAAGTCAGAGCCTGGGCCCTGTTCCTCAGTGTTTTTGCTCAAGGATTGTATTCTACTACTTCAGCCACAGTTGTCTTTTTGGTGGTTAACTGGAGATAAGAGTCTCACAGATTTTTTTTGCCTGGGCTGTGTTTTGAACTGGAATGCTCAGATTTCAGCCTCCTAAGTAGCTATGATCACCGGTGCTTGACTTAGAATTATTTTTGAAAAAAAATATTTTTTGATAATGGAGAATTGATAATCACCTTCTAGTTTTGTTTGTTTGTTTTTTTGTTTTTTCTGGGGTCCGGTTGTGGGGCCTGAACTCTGGGCCTGGGCGCTGTCCCTCAGCTCTTCAGCTCAAGGCTAGCGCTCTACCACTTGAGCCACAGCGCCACTTCCGGCTTTTTCCTTTTTGCTTATGTGGTGCTGAGGAATTGAACCCAGGGCCTAAAGCATGCAAGGCAAGCGCTCTACCACCGAGCCACCTTCCCAGCCTGCCTTCTAGTTTTTAAATAGATAAGTAGACTTGAGAGACAGGGAATGATTTGCCCAAGATTCCTCAGGAAGGAGACAGGGAAGAAGAAGAAAGAGTGGGTGAGAAGGAGGGGGGAGGAGGAGGAGAGAGAACATCATTCAAATCAGTTGATAGGTTGAGTGAGTAAACATTAGATACTAGCCAAGTCAAGAAGCCCCCTCCTCAGGATGAGCCAAGAAGGAAGATGAGAGTTTTAATTTCTCAACTGAATTCTAGAAAGAAAAAAAGGCATGTGCCAAAGACATCCCAGGAGCCCTGTGACAGCTTCTTTGTGTTTCACGGGCCTCAGGAAAGCATACCATTCCTGCTTGGACAGTGGTACCTCCTTCCTCTCCTCCTCTCACCTCTCTGCTTCAGTCTTTCCCTGATACCTCCTTCCCAGAGTCTCTCCCTATTCCCTTCATTCCATTCCATTCACCATTCTGGTTCTGTGCTGGGATATGAAGAGGACAGTCTGAGAAATACAAGGAACCCACTCTGGTTGGGCACAAACTAGTAAATACCAATATAAAGCATTCTATGCCAATGACAACTCCATTGGAGCCTTAGGAAGCTGGGGGAATGAGGGGAGAGAAGGAAAAAGGTGGGACCGGTGTTGAGCTCATAATAAATAATTATAACAGCGGCCATTTATTGAACACTAATTATTAGTGCTTGGCATTTTGCATCCCTTCCTCACTGAATTTTGACAACAATCTGGGGAGGTACATATTATCTCCATTTTACAGACCAAGGAACTGAGGCTCAGGGCTTCAGTGAAACAACTTGTTCAAAGTCACACTGCTAGGATAGGGCGGGATTCGAACCCAGGAGAGTCCAGCTATACAGCCTACACGACCTACTACCATCTCTATGGGAGGGGCTCAGATGAGTTCCTGTGAAGGGTCTCCCAAACTTTGGTAAAAGAAGTACACTGAAAGAGCATTGATGGAAAAAGAGACTACCTAAATCTTGTCCTCAGAGTGACTGTCACTTTGGCCCTTTTGAGAGGAAAAGACAATGGCTGGCCCAAGAGAGTGGACCTCATGAAGTTCCAGTGCCTTATTTCTACCATGGAGGTAGCCCATCTTGAGGATGGAGGGGAGAGGGGAGTATTTGTCACCAGACCAGAGAAAGACGTGTCAAGACACCGAGGGTTCCCTCCCATCACCTCAGTGAAGTTTCAGCTCTGACTACTTCCACACCCATATTTGCCACACACACATCTCTGTTCTGTTCTCTCTCTCTGTCTCCTACACACACACACACACACACACACACACACACACTCCCTGCATCATCCCAGCTTTAGTTGAGAGTGTGCCAATCCTCCTTCTCCACCCGTCAGGCCTCCCCCCCCCAACTCACATCAGCAGGGAGCCAGGAGCGTCTCCTCATCTGTCTTTGCACCCAAGGCCTCCGCAGACTAGACGGGATGGACTCAGATCTCTCGGCTGTCACTGTACCCGCCTTGGAGGCATTTCCTAATGACTGAGCAGCTTGGGAGGACAGACAGCATAGGGAAGTGAATGCTGCCCAACCCGTTTGAGGCCAGGAGGTTCTTGGTGTTGCCCAGGGGTTGGGCAGCTGCTGGCGTCAGGTGATCGTGATGATGAGGGTGCTAACAGAGGAGCCCCCTGCCTGAGTCTCAGCGGGGTCCTCTTCAGAGACTTCTCCAGCATTGGTCTCCCTATCACAAAAAAAGGAAAACAATACACATGACTGTCAAACCTTCTGAGACCCATTCCATTGAGACCCCAGTACAGGGTGAAGGAGTCAGATCTGCCTCAGGAGGGTGGTGACACCCATCTGAGTGTTATTCATCAAATAGGCAGAAGCTACACCAGAGAAATGATTCTTCCTTCCCTCCCTCCCTCCCTCTCT